CTTTGGTGTGTAATTGCCGTGAGAGCCATCGTACTATTTCTGTAGTATTTTCTAGCGAGTCTTTTCCGTTTCGGGTTTTCCGTGCCTTGCTAAACATGGCGGGTAAAGCTGATTTGAAAGTTGATATGCTGTGAGAATTAGCAGATTATACCGTGAATTAAGAGATACAGTGAATTAAGAGATACATTCTAGTTTAGAAGCAGAACAACTGTGAGTTAACGCTCATATTTTAAACAAGGCAAGTCAAAGGTGGTAATGGAATAGTTTTATTTGAGATATACAGAGTTATTCATCTAGATCTGCAGAGGTGATAGGTTTTTTGTATGGAAGGGTGTCAGGCTGTATAGACAATCCGTCGCACAGCCTGGTCGGGCTAGAGTAAGGCTAGAGGGACTTCGTCAAACTTTGTAATTTTCCAGTAGGCAGATGAAAATGTGGATAAACACTCTCTTTCGCTCTTTCCCCCTTCCTCTCCTCCTTATTCCCTGTTTCTTTTCTTGCATTTCTTTCCCGTTTCCGATCATACAAAATACATATAGACATATATTTTCTGCCAAAAAAGTGGGGGGGCCTAGGCCACCCCGTCCCCCCGTATGCGCCGCCCCTGAATGAGTGACAGTACGTACCTGTTCCTGCTGGACATTCTTCTTTGCTGCGCAAACGGCACTAGCGAAAAGTACCCCTAGTGATTTTCGCTGAGAATATAGATAGAAAGCGGCTGCAGAACCGAATGAAAGTAACCCTAATGTTGGAAATATAGCATAATGCCGAGAATTAGTCCATCTACTAGTAGAAAACCTCTTCGTCGAGTGAAATATTTTGATGTTTTCTCTAAAATTTAGACTAAATAAACGACAACAGAGCGCTGCCATATTGCATTCTTGGCGAATCCCACAATGCAACTTGTTTTATTTTGTGTGCTACCACCGTGCTATCACGGCTAAATAGAAATGAGTCACTGCTAAATAGAAATGTTAATACTTATACTATGCAAATTACTTATCTAGAAAACTTATATCACTGAAAATTGTGTTTTTTCAAAGTGCGCGATAAATAATAAAATCGTCGTCAGCGTTATCACTGTCATTTTCTTCTTTGGATTCTAAATGGGAGATGCATACATGCATGAGTCTTCGAACACTATTCCTGTGGGCGCCTTACGTGCGTTGTGCCGCTACACTATTTTTTGGCCTGTTTAAATAGTTTATAATTATAATATTTGGAATATGATTGATAATAACATCATAAATGTATGGACAATAATTACTACTTTGCAACTTTCAGTGCAATCATAGATATAGAATAGAGATCTTCTATTCTATATCTATCAGAAGTAGATAATAGGGAAGAAGATATATATGGTGCAAAATAATTCATGAACCATCTGGGAACATATTGATTCGCTCGTTCGGTTATCATGGTACACCGTACACAGTATAAAGTGGTGTGAATTCGAACATGAATGAAATACAGATATTTAAATAAGTAAATGGAATTCTGAAAAGCTCAAGAATGATCGCCTCGCGTATTTATTTGTTTGCTGGTCTAATGATTCCAGTATGGGGTGGGGTGGGGGCTGCCCTCATCACGGATCCGACAGTGCAGTGCGCGCGCGCCTGTGTGTGTGTGTGTGTGTGTGTGTGTGCGTGCGTGCGTGCGTGCGTGCGTGCGTGCGTGCGTGCGTGCGAGCGTGTGTGTGTAACGCGGTAATTATTTCTTTGGGTAGGCGTCTGGTTATCTTTTAGTCCAGCCCGCTCGTTCGTTACCTAACCCTGGCCGCTCATGCACGTTATTATGGGAGGGGATATGTGTCGAAATTCAAACGTTTAATTGATCGATTGATTGTTCAATTGAACAGTCGTTTAATTATTCAAACGTTCAATTGATCGATTGATTGTTCAATTGAACAGTCGTTTAGTTATTCAAACGTTCAATTGATCGATTGATTGTTCAATTGAACAGTCAATTTAATCATTCAAACGTTCAATTGATGGATTGGTTGTTTGAATTATTATGGGAGGGGATATGTGTTGTTCAATTGAACAGTCAATTTAATCATTCAAACGTTCAATTGATGGATTGATTGTTCGAATTATTATGGGAGGGGATATGTGTCGAAATTCAAACGTTTAATTGATCGATTGATTGTTCAATTGAACAGTCGTTTAATTATTCAAACGTTTAATTGAGCAATTAAATAACGAATTGCCAAATTAAATCGCCGAATTGACGATTTGACGAATTGACGAATTGACAAATCAAAGGCACGAATACTGAATAGGCGTATTGAATCATGGAATAAAGCAATTGCCGAGGCTCGTCTATCGAGCAATTGCCGAGGCTCGTCTATCGAGCAATTGCCGAGGCTCGTCTATCGAGCAATTGCCGAGGCTCGTCAATCGAGCAATTGCCGAGGCTCGTCTATCGCCAAATCAAACGTATACCCAAGGGCGTCACGCCCTGGGCGTGTACAGGATTTAGACCATCTAACCGTAACCCAAACTTGCGAGCACGCGAAGGGGGGGGTCTGGGGAATTTTTTGAAATTAGACCCCTCAGATGCGTTTTCTGCGCGAGCA